TTGTTGTGGGACAACATGTCCAGGCATTACCCTGCTACGTATTATTGCACATGCTAAGAACCGGTGCACAGTCTGGGATGTCCAATTCCACACATGGTATGTCCAAATGGAAAAGAATGCCGGCCACTTGGTATGCTCCTCTTGATATTCTTTATTGGCTACATAACATAAATATATTACATAGAAAGCCAACTCATTTCTGATGTCACAGCCTTCCTCATAGCTCTCCTTTTTTCTGCATGTCTAGCATTCCACAGCTGGTTCCCCGGAGCACAAGGCATCGATCCGTGAGGGCCCCTCCACCATTGGCATTCACAACTGAAGCACAGGATTGGTGGGAGGGTTGTCAACCTATTGCACATACTGTACAAGAAGAATTTACACTTAACTCAATACAGCTTCATTCTTCTGCTCCCTACACATTGTTCTGCCTTTTTAGTCTACCATAGAGTTCCACCATATCTTCGATCCAGGATTGCCCTATTAACCTTTACTTCTCGTTTGAATCTGTTTCATTTTTGCTGCTGTTTAAGTTCTTCTGCAAAATAAATGCATCAAACACCTCCCCAATAGTTTGTCCTTTGGAACTGAAAGCAGATGGAAGCAACCAAATATCACCATCTGTGCACCACTGTTAGGGCCCCATCAAAGCCAGCAGAAATAACTAAATATCTGGAGACCACCCTTTTCTGTCTCATAGAAATTTGGAAACCACCTCTTAATGAGCTGAAGCCAGGTGCTGGCATAAGGACCCCTTTGTTGTTGTGGGACAACATGTCCAGGCATTACCCTGCTACGTATTATTGCACATGCTAAGAACTGGTGCACAGTCTGGGATGTCCAATTCCACACATAGTATGTCCAAATGGAAAAGAATGCCGGCCACTTGGTATGCTCCTCTTGATATTCTTTATTGGCTACATAACATAATATAGTACATAGAAAGCCAGCTCATTTCTGATGTCACAGCCTTCCTCATAGCTCTCCTTTTTTCTGCATGTCTAGCATTCCAGAGCTGGTTCGCCGGAGCACAAGGCATCGATCCGTGAGGGCCCCTCCACCATTGGCATTCACAACTGAAGCACAGGATTGGTGGGAGGGTTGTCAACCTATTGCACATACTGTACAACAGGAATTTACACTTAACTCAATACAGCTTCATTCTTCTGCTCCCTACACATTGTTCTGCCTTTTTAGTCTACCATAGAGTTCTACCATATCTTCGATCCAGGATTGCCCCGATAACCTTTACTTCTCGTTTGAACCTGTTTCATTTTTGCTACTGTTTAAAGCGGAGTTCCACTCAAACTATAAAAAAATAAAAGTCAGCAGCTACAAAAACTGTAGCTGCCGACTTTTAAAAAACAGCCACTTACCTGTCCCTCAGTCCAGCGGTGTCCTTCCCACAGCCCGTTTTACCGGCCATCCTGTGTTCAAGGTGCCGGAGTCTTCAGTGTGGCACCCGGCTATGACTGTTGTGGCTTCACTGTCAGGTACCCACTGTGTATGTGTGAGTAGCAGTGCGCTTCCTAAATGGCCCCGTCGCCTTCTGGGACCTGTCACGTGTCCCAGAAGACTACAGGGAAGGAAGGTAGGAGGACAGCTTCCGCTTCCAATCGCCTTGATGATCGCAGCAGAAATGGGCGCAGTTACTTGTCAATTTTCGGGTAACCCACTGCCCAAACGTGCCAGTCCTTAATGGGGAGCGGGGGACCAGTCTTTAAAGCGGAACTTTCCCTTTTGGGTGGAACTCCGCTTTAAGTTCTTCTGCAAACTAAATGCACCAAACACCTCCCCGATATTATTATATTATTATTATTATACAGTATTTATATAGCGCTAAAAGGTATGCTCAGCGCTGTACATTATAGTGGGGGACAGAACATGAGACAATACAGTAACAATACAATACACGAGGGGTTCGAGGGCCCTGCTCTTTCGAGCTTACAATCTAGGAGGGATGGGATAGAGGTACAGGAGGAAGTGAAGTCCTTTGGTAAGACTTCTGGTAAGAAACATGCAAAAGAAGAGTGCTCCATGGGACGGAGCCACTCACACACGCTACCACGCATGCGTGACCGGCCGGCGCCCATTTTGAAAGTTGGAAAATGTTTGCCTATTTATGCTCAGCAATGTCCACTTTTTTGTGAGTGCAACCATACTTAAAATAAATGTTGTTTTAATTGTTTTACTCTATGTGGAGCACTCTTCTTTTGCATAAATTATAACAATGGTGCCGCGCCCTTTAAATGAATGTATCTATATATAAAAGATGTGAATGGTGAACTGCTTATAGCAATTCATTAAATTGCTTAGTAGTGAAAAAAATATCAAACAATATAAACCAACATTAATAGCAAGATAATGATTAGAAAATAATACATATAAATGTCCAATTCATGAGTGAATTCAATCAAATGTGAATCCCATCATACTTGCGGCTTGCTCAATAGGCTGTAACGGACTGCTCATACAATCCAGATAGTCTGTGCTAAGGGACTACTGGGCCAGAAAGCGTGGGTTTACTCTGATGTGTTCCTTTGTAGAAAGCAGACTGGGTGATCACCTCCTTACTCCTGGTAATGCTGTTATGGGTAAATCCAGGATATGGGTCCTCCCTTCAATAGGCTCTATATATTTTCTGCCTATTACTCCAGGTATACACCGGGAAGAAAAGAGAGAGAGAGATAGTGCCTTATCTTTGGTATAAAAGTGAATATTTATTTGTGCCAATATTGCACTCACAAAATTAAAAATCATTCAGCGCTTTTAAAAGTGCGTCCAGCCTGAGCGGCGTGTAAACACACACTGCCTGTACTCGCCGTTCCACAAAATTAAAAATCATTCAGCGCTTTTAAAAGTGCGTCCAGCCTGAGCGGTGTGTAGACACACACTGCCTGTACTCGCCGTTCCAAGAAGTCGGGTGCGTGGTGACGTCAGTGCCCCTCCCCAAAGCGTTGCGCCACAGGGTCACGTGGCTTCATCCGGGGGATGTAATTACATTACAATTATACCAAAGATAAGGCACTATCTCTCTCTCTCTTTTCTTCCCGGTGTATACCTGGAGTAATAGGGAGAAAATATATAGAGCCTATTGAAGGGAGGACCCATATCCTGGATTTACCCATAACAGCATTACCAGGAGTAAGGAGGTGATCACCCAGTCTGCTTTCTACAAAGGAACACATCAGAGTAAACCCACGCTTTCTGGCCCAGTAGTCCCTTAGCACAGACTATCTGGATTGTATGAGCAGTCCGTTACAGCCTATTGAGCAAGCCGCAAGTATGATGGGATTCACATTTGATTGAATTCACTCATGAATTGGACATTTATATGTATTATTTTCTAATCATTATCTTGCTATTAATGTTGGTTTATATTGTTTGATATTTTTTTCACTACTAAGCAATTTAATGAATTGCTATAAGCAGTTCCCCATTCACATCTTTTATATATAGATACACATTCATTTAAAGGGCGCGGCACCATTGTTATAATTTATTTATTACTGTTATACATATATATGAGGATGTAAAGAGGAGCCTGCGAACTTATTCTCATCTTACATTTTTACTCCTAGTGGCTCACAGGTAACTTCATTGTAGTTCACTCTTCTTTTGCATGTTTTTTTACCACGAGTCTGAATTCCATCCGAAGTGGTATAGCTACCCTAATTAGGGTTTATTGCTTGAAGGATCTTTGTTTTCTCTCTTGGTGGTCTGGAGGAGGATCCAGTTCTCCAGCTTTCTGGGTTGTTTACAACATAGCCTGATTGACCACTCTTAACAGGGGGTCATGCTTTTCTGGGAAGCCTTTCATATGAGTGGTTGGTGACACAACAGTTGTCTTTGAATTTCCTTTATTTCATGGCAAACTCTAGGGACTTTCCTTTATCTGATTATTTTTGATAGACACATTTTTTACATGATATGTTTCACTGTTTTTTTCACCAATTATTTGTCACTTTGTTAGGTGCCGCACTTTATATGTATTACTGTTTTACTGCCTGGTTTTGGGGTTTTAGTGTTCAGCTGCTATATATTTGCACTTTATCATATATTATAATTTTTTTAGTGCAGGATTATATGTATTTTGTACACTGTCACTAATGACACTGGCTGGGAAAGGGTTAACATCTAGGGGCAACCAAAGGGTTAGCTGTGTGCCTAACAATGTGTAATGTGTGCCCCTTTTACTAGTCGATGTGGATGTTTTTTTTCTCCCTGCTTTGCTGCGCACTGTACAGAGCTCTATGTTGTTAGCAAACACAGGGCTCTGTGCTGTGATTTGCTAAGCTGATCAGCAGGCCTAAATTATTGGCCAGGACCTGCTGACTGACTTGTGCTGTACTGTACTGAATGACAGCACAGATGGGGCAGGGGGGGGGGGGGAGGTGCACGCTCCCTATACCCAGAAATGCTGGATCCCGTACATGTACACGATCCAGCGCAGCAGGGCCATCCAGCTGCAGTATATATACATGGGGCGGTGCTTAAGTGGAACACTAATACACCATAACTAGGGTTGCCACCTCATTTGCGTAAATAAAATGTGTTTGGTATGAGGAGGCAACCCTAACCACAACCCAATTTTTAATGCATACAGAAAAATCAACAATGAAGAAATTAAAATGCTCCATCCTTCACTTTCAACTTTTCTCGGTCAAAAACTATTGATGTTTTGCCCCCATTAACCAGTAGAAAACTGAATTAATGTTTCAAAAATGAAAATTTTTTAACTAAATTATGACGGTGTATGGCTAGCTTTAGGCTTGGCCAATTTTGGCTATGCAGAGACACAGTCCTGGTCAGGGGCGGACTGACCATTTGGAAACTCAGGCACTGCCCGAGGGCCCGGGGTCGGTGGGGGGCCCCATGAGATGCCCCTGGTACCTTTTTCATAGGCTTTTTTGAGTTTGGGCAAGGACACAGGGGCCCCATGATCTCCTATTGCCCGGGGGCCCCATGAGTTGTCAGTCCGCCCCTGGTCTTGGTAGTATTTACAGAGTAAATTTGTTCATTGGGTTTTCCTGCCATTCAGGCAAGGAAGAAAGTCTATCACTGAGGTCCTTTTCCATGGTCCAACCCCAAGCTTTAAAGAATGGAACCAAATTCTTTTGCACTTGTTGTGAGAATAATTCGGCCCAAAGGCTCATCTTGAATGTCTTGTCATTCTTGATGTTTTTGATGTATCTATAGTCTGAGAAAAGCTTGATGTATGGCTGCCAACCAAAACCTTCTTGAAGCTGAAACATTTAAAAGGAAAAAGTAACAGGTAAGAAAATCATTCCATAGTTCATTTCTTTCTTAAAGAGACCCTGTCACCAAATTTAAAAACCTGCTAGAAAACCTGACCACTTCAGGAAGTGTCAATTGCCTAGTACAGACCCCTTGCACATCATTGCCCTCTTCCTTACTGGGAGTTTCTAATTACAAGTGGAACACTGTAGAGCAGTGGTGGTCACATTTCTTGATATAGGGATCCTCAAGTGTGAACCCTGACATCACCAAAGTGCTGCACAAAATATTCAATGAATATTATGTGTCAATGACAGCAGACACACAACAGAATATGGTCAAAGGCAATGGGCAAGACACAGTATATGGCCAGAGACTGTTGGCATGCATGCTACAAGGGATGGGCAGAGACTGTGGACATACTACAGGACATGGTCAGAGACTACGAGTATGCTACAAGAGACTGTCAAAGATTGCTTAAGGAACGAGGAAAGAACAAAGAGAGGGCGCACAGGCCTAGTGCATTACCATAAAAAATGTTTAATAAGATATAAAATAGGTGTTGTACTCACAAACAAAGTCAAGGCACATCATAAAAGAACAGCTGGGTCAACACCGCGCTGAGTAACAGTCCGCAATAGGGAGTGTAGACATCCAATAGGCTGACGTGTTTCGAGGACTTGCCTCTTCCTCAGAGCCACAAGTCCTCGTTTGTTAGTACAACACCTATTTTATTTCTTATTAAACATTTTTTATGGTAATGCACTAGGCCTGTGCGCCCTCTCTTTGTTCTTTCCTCATTCAGTATATTTGGATTTCCCCGGCCTATTGAGGGCAGCAAGGTGTTCATGTTCCAGGACATTCTTAATGTGGTTGTAGCATCGAGTCCATCCCCAAGCGCAGGAGCATTTGTGTTTGCTGGTTCATTGCTTCAGGAACCACAGACTGGAGGGACCTGCAGGGACCTGGAGGGACACATAATGGCCAAATGGCCCCTAAGCCACAGGTTGGGCACCAGGGTTATAATGTCACTTAAGTAACAGCTCTAAGTCTTCTGGGGTTGCTTACATCACATCCAAGATGGCTGTGCCCAGCAGCAGTCTAAGTGCTTTTTGGATGTCTATATGTAGGCTGTTATTACATAGTTACATAGCTGGTAAGATTGAATAAAGACACCAATCCATCCATTTCAACCCATGTGGGTGTGTGTTCATGTTAAAACTCATATCCCTGTATACTGTGTTCTCTAAGAAGCCCATCCAAGAATTTTTTAAAACTATCAATACTTCCCACTGACACCACCGATTGTGGAAGAGTGTTCCACATCCTTACTGTTCTGACACTGAAAAACTCCCTACGCAGTTTAAGGCTAAACCACTTTCTCCAATTTCAGTGAGTGGCCCCATGTCTTCCTACACTCCCTGAGACTGAATAGTCTATTCTTTATGCCAGAATCACCATTAAGATATTTGTATGGCGCTAGCATATCCCTAATAAAAAAATAAAACACACCAGGATTCCCAAAGCTCAGGGTCAGAAATTACTGAATAAGGATAGTGACCCAATTATGAATAATGCTGACTCACATAGGTATATGTGGTATCCTCGGGACCCTAATCATAAATGGGAAAATAAAGAAAAAAGACCAGAGGGTAAAGGACCCAGAGGCCAAAAAGGGGGTCCAAATGGGGACAAACTGCAGCCTTGAAAACCAAATAACAAACAAAAATAATTTAATTTGCAGTAAAAAAAGTAAAAATATCACAAAGACATATATGGCATGATAAGCCAAAATATACAAAAAATTACACAAAAAAATTATCTCACCACCACCCAGGGGGAAAGGAAGTCAAAAGCAGAATGGCAAGATCAACCTGGACAACACTAGACATGCATATTGTATTTTTTGGCTTATCATGCCATATATGTCTTTGTGATATTTTTACTTTTTTTACTGCGAATTAAATTATTTTTGTTTATTATTTGGTTTTCAAGGCTGCAGTTTGTCCTCATTTGGATCCCCTTTTTGGCCTCTGGGTCCTTTACCCTCTGGTCTTTTTTCTTCATTTTCCACTATCATATCCCTCTCAAGCATCTCTTCTCCAGGGAAAATAAATTTAATGTTTGTAGTCGTTCCTCGTAACTGAGGATCTCCAGTTCCAGCACATCCTTCCTGATGATTGGTGACCAGAATTGGTCACCAGGTATATACTAATAGGTAAGTAAATGGTCTAGTGACAGGGTCTCTTTTATGTACATTTTAAACTTTAAAGCAGTGTCATATAATTTGCTAAAGCACTGCGTATTGACAAATATGATTTGCTTTTTCTCCATAAAATACTTATTTTCACAGTTTATTTTCATCCATGTTGAACCTCAGTGCTGCTGACCACCTGCAGTCTCTTTTTAACCACTACCTGTCTACATGCACTTCAGAGATGGCTGTGTGGCATTTCTAACAGTAGGTTTCCTGAGGGTGTCAATAGTGGGTCAGTCAGTCTATTGAGTGTAGAAATGGCCATTTGTAGTCTCCATCAGAAGCCCAAGTGACAACACAGGAACACAATTGGAAGACTGGGAGCAGGGGCGGACTGACCATTTGGAAACTCGGGCACTGCCCTAGGGCCCGGGTCAGTACGGGGCCCCATGAGATGCCCCTGGTACCTTTTTAATAGGCTTTTTTGAGTTTAGGCAAGGACACAGGGGCCCCATGATCCCCTATTGCCTGGGGGCCCCATGAGTAGTCAATCCGCCCTTGACTGGGAGAGAACATTGTCATCTCATAACATGAAGTGACCTTCATGGCAGGATCAACTGGTATTATTTTAACAAAAGCTGCAGGTTAAGAATTATGAAAATGTCTTTTAAAACTATATGGACATGTTTGAGATTTTAATGCTGTTGTCTACTCTACATACTGCAAAATGTTATCAAACCTGATTGCAGAACTACCAGTACTTTTGTTTTAGAGAAGATATCCCAGTCCAGAAATGTGAAGGATTTGGAGATTGTAATAAGATTTTACCTAACCCCAGAGGTGTAACCTGAAGCTTGTGGGCCCCCCATGCAAAAGTTGACCTGGGGCCTCCGCACTACCACCCATAACTTCCACCATGCGCCAAGCTAATCCAAGAGCCTAAAGTGTTATTTCAGATCTTTATTTACATATTAGGAAGGTAATTCAAAAGATTTTGGAGAAACTGTGCACATTGTGACATACTTCTCCTATTCTTTTGAATACCTTGGAGCGGGTTAGGCAACCTTTGAAGGTCGCTCGCTAGGCTGGCAATATTCAGAACCAGAAGTGATGTCACCACTCCGAGATCCCATGTCACATCAGGCCGAGTGGGGACATCATTTCCAGTTCTGAGTATCGCCAGCCTAGCGATTGGACATTTTCCTGGTTATCTTCCAACTCTGTTTGGAGCAGCGGCTCCGGTACTGGTACCGGAGTCTTGTGTTTAGATGGTCCAGCATCCTCACAGCAGGTGTACACACCCATGGCCATCCAGCCTGTCACATATGTATATTTACCATCTACCTCCACATTCCATCGGGAGATGCCATTACCAGTTTGGTGAGATTGTGCTGGGTTACCATTGAGTCTATGTAACAATATCTAATGAGGATGTGTCATTGCGTGTTTTATCATTTTATTAAAAGGATCACATTTTTAACTTTTATTGTTGGACTGTACTGTTTTTTTGGGTGATATCCATACATACTGTTCATTGAGCATTAACTGCAATCTTCTAGTACAGGGGTGGGCAACTGTGGCCCTCCAGCTGTTGTAGAACTACAAGTCCCATGAGGCATTGCAAAACTGACAGTTACAAGCATGACTCCCAAAGGCAGAGGCATGATGGGACTTGTAGTTCACCAACAGCTGGAGGGTCACAGTTGCCCACCCCTGTTCTAGTGCATTCTTTTTTTTTTTTTGTATTTATTCTACCTCTATTCCCAAGGGATTACACAGCAGCACATGATAGTTGCTGTCCACATTGTGCTTATCACCAGGACCACCTGGTGTCAGTAGGGCAGTGGACAGTTTCAGTAAAGTGGTGGGAAGTGTCAGTAGAGCAGTGGATGGTGTTAGTAGAGCAGTGGACGGAGTCAGTAGGGCAGTGGATGGTGTTAGTAGAGGAGTGGATGGTGTAAGTAGGGCAGAGGTTGGTGTCAGTAGGATAGCAAATAGTGTCAGTCAGTAGAGCAGTGTGTACATTGTCAGTAGTGGGCATTGTCAACGCAGTGGTCATGGTCAGTAGGGCAGTGAACGGACATAGGGCACTGGATGGTGTTAGTAGAGGAGGGAGTGTAAGACATGGTCAGTAGGCAGTGTCAGTCAGTAGGTGGACATTGTAGTTGGGCAGTGAACATTGTCAGTAGGGCAGTGGACATTGTCAGTAGGGCAGTGGACATGGTCAGTAGGGCAGTGAACGTGGTCAGTAGGGCAGTGAACGTGGTCAGTAGGGCAGTGGACATGGTCAGTAAGGCATGGACATGGTCAGTAGGGCAGTGGACATGGTCAGTAGGGCAGTGGACATGGTCAGTAAGGCATGGACATGGTCAGTAGGGCAGTGGACATGGTCAGTAGGGCAGTGGACATGGTCAGTAGGGCAGGGGACATGGTCAGTAGGGCAGTGGACTGAGACAATAGGGCAGAGGATGGGGTCAGTAGAACAGTGGACAGGGTCAGAAGGGCAGTGTCAATTTTTTTTTATTTTTTATTTTTATTATTTTTCACCATTTTATTGTATTCTGATTTTTTTTTATTTAGGAGCCCAGCTGGGGAACTTTGGTGAGCTATCAGGGGTCTAAACAGACCTCTAATGTTTCACCTTGAGACAGAGAAAGGAGACACAAAATAGTTTTAGCTATACTTCTCCTTTAACAGTGAAATGAAAATAGCAGACTGATGAGTTAATCTCTATGTCACTCTGCTCTCTTCTTCTATCAGCATCCTCCTTGCACTGCAGCACAGAAAATAAGTTCCTTGTGCTGCTACTCCTTCCCCTTGTCTGAGATCCTTCTAAAGGTTAAGTTTACTTTTAATGAAAAATGTAAAGGTGAACTAACGCCAAGTATCCTGGCTACCCCTCCAGACCCCACTGCCCATAACGACTGTTATACCCTGTGCTGCTGGTGTATCGGTCTGTACACCATATACGTCAATACATAGAGTGAGTATCTATCATAATGCTCACAATGGCATGCATTTATTGGCCAAGGATACCATGTCATTGTGCTGACCAATGGGAGGTCTGGGACACCTTACCAGAAGGAAGAGGATTCAGATGCACTTTTTTTGTTCAGCTCGGTCACATGGCCAATGAGCACTTTCCATTGTGTGTATTATGATGCACACTCACTACATGGCTGTGTTTTTCAGTGTAGGGTGTATGGACTGCTAAATCGACACCATGGGGTATCATGGCCACTATGGCAAGCAGGGTCCAGAGGGGTGGCTAGGATATTTGCAGTTGGGTCCGCTTTTTATTTTTCATGAAAAGATTAACTTATCCTTAAAGGATGTATTATTACAAATCTGTATTAATCTGAATATTTTGTTTTTGCCTGGTGTGCATCTTTAAACCCCAAACACTGACCCTAATAATAAGGTAACCTAAGCTTTAATGCTCAAATAACCTCTTCTTTATGTTTCTCCGGGAGTAGTGGTACCAAATCCTTCTGGTTTTGCTCCATAAACTGCCAAAGACTGAGATACAAAAAACTGAAAAAAAATGATCACCAACTTTCCTGTTGAGATAAGTGATGTAATGAGGAAGATTCTCTAGTTAATATCCTCTTTTTACCTGTAGATAAGTTTCTAAACAGACCCATGTATTCCAATTGTCCAGCAGAGCTCCATCTTCTAAATATTTCCTTATCCTTTCCTCTCTTACGTGTGGTTGGAGATCACCATGAGCCTTCTCTCTTGGAATTCCCAAAACATTTTCAAACACATAGACAGACCACAGGTTGCAGAAGGCTTCATTAGTGTGAGGAGGAATTGTACATTCCCTTATCTCCCAGTTGTGTCCGAGTTCATGAATAGCACCCCACATATCTGGTCTTATGTTCTCAATGGACAACAGGGCCTCAACAGATTTCAAATGACACATGATGGGATAACCGGAATGCATCCAACCTGTCAAAGCAAGAGGATACGATTTCAACATTTGTCTTTGAAGATAATTCATACATTGATGTATATGAAAATAAATCTAAAAGCAAAACTTTTTTTGTTCTTAGATCTAAATCAGAGGTCTCCAAACTTTCTAAATAAATGGCCGGTTGACTGTCCTTCAAATTTTAGGGAGGCCAGAGTGGCCAGTGGGAATAGAGAATGCTCCAGCGTCAGTGGGAGTAAAAAAATTACATAGTGCCCGTAGTCAGTAGAAGAAGCAATAGTGCCCCATCATTGGTATTAGTGGGAAGAATAATGCCCCATCATTGGTATTAGTGGGAAGAATAATGCCCCATCAATGGTATCAGTGGGAGGAATAGTGCCTCATCATTGGTATTAGTGGCAAGAATAGAGTCTCATCATTGGTGTCAGTGGGAGGAATAGTGCCCCATCATTGGTATTAGTGGGAAGAATAGTGCCCCATCATTGGTGTCAGTGGGAGGAATAGTGCCCCATCATTGGTGTCAGTGGGAGGAATAGTGCCCCATCATTGGTATCAGTGGGAGGAATAGTGCCCCATCATTGGTATTAGTGGGAAGAATAATGCCTCATCATTGGTATTCAGTGGGAGAATAGTGCCCCATCATTGGTATTAGTGGGAGGAATAGTGCCCCATCATTGGTATTAGTGGGAGGAATAGTGCCCCATCATTGGTGTCAGTGGGAGGAATAGTGCCTCATCATTGGTATTAGTGGGAAGAATATGCCTCATGTATTAGTGGGAAGAATAGTGCCCTATCATTGATATCAATTGGTAGAATAGTGCCTAATTGTTTATATCAGTGGGAGGAATTATGCCCCATTGCTTGAGTCAGTGGGAGGAATAGTGCCCCATCATTGGTGTCAGTGGAAGGAAAATTTCCCCATTGTTGGTGTCAGTGAGAGGAATGCTTCCCCATTGTTGGTGTCAGTTGAAGGAATGGTGCCTCCTTGTTGGTGTTAATTGGAGGAATAGTACCCCATGAGCAGAAGAGCCACCTTCGGCCCATGGGCCACAGTTTGGAGACCGCTGATCTAGATCAAGGAAGGGTTACAACATTGTCAAGAAATTAAAACATCAACAGGGAGTGGAGAGGAAAATTCTCCAAAGTCCAAGTTTCACCAATGGAAGACTTTACCTTTATTCCTATTGCAGTGAAAACCATGAAAAATGTTGGAGTTTCCTGAACTGTAAGTCCCATTGACAAAGGTCACCAGGGAAATAGGGAAGGTGAATCTTACCAGCAGTGGCAGACAGCAATACAAATCTGACGTGTTTCTAACCCTTCCTATGGTCAGATTCTGGTCTCCACTGACCAGACCCAGACACCACCATGCAGAAAAAGAGTATATAAAAAAGGAAAATGTGTAAAGTGTCTTGTAAAAGTGTTCACCCCCTTAGTGTTTTTCCTATTTTCTTACATTTTAACCTAGAATTAAAATAGTTTTGGGGGGTTTTGTATCATCTAATGTAGACAACATGCCTATCAGTATGAAAGAGAAATCTTGCATGTGTAAGTGTTCTCCTCCCCTTCCCCAAAAGCCAATACTTTCTTTAGCCACCATTTGCTGCAATTTTTTACAGCTCAAAGTCTCTTGGAGTATGTCTTTATAAGGTTAGCACACCTAGCCACAGGGATTGTTCCCCATTTTTCTTCTTCTGCAAAACTGTTTCAGCTCCTTCAAGTTAGATGGGTTGAGTTGGTGAACAGCAATGTTCAAGTCATGCCACGGATTCTCAGTTGGATTGAGGCCTGGGCTTTGACTGGCCCATTCCAAGACAGTTTTAGTAAGATGTTGCATCTCTGAATAATACCATTCTTGCTCATTGTGTGGGATTTGGTAGACAGCCTTATCTTGTAGGGTTTTCAGTGGTGCCATATTATTTGCATTTTGTTAAAATGGATTTATTGGCTCTCCATGGAATGTTCAAAGTTTGGGATTTTTTTTAATAATCTGGTCCTGATCCAGGGGCGGACTGAGAATTCATGGGGCCCCCGGGCAATAGGGTCTCATGAGGCCCCTGTGTCCTTGCCAAAACTCAAAAAAGCCTATGAAAAAGGTACCAGGGGCATCTCATGGGGCCCCCTACTGACCCCAGGCCCTCGGGCAGTGCCCGAGTTTCCAAATGGTCAGTCCGCCCCTGTCCTGATCTATACTTCTTCATAACTTTGTCTATGGACTGTAAACTGAAGAGCTCCTTTTTAAAGCTTCTGATAGGATGCTAGCTGCACAGGCTCTGATCACAGGACATGAGAGAATCCAGTACCGACACAGTATGAAATAAATTTATAATTCTTTATTCATGATCCGTCGAGACATAAAAAGATCTATCCAGTGAAATAACAAATAAAATTCAAGGTTCGCACCACCATAACTTTTCTGACCCAATCACATGACAGCTGTGAGAGCCAACCACAGTAGTCACATGATACATAAGCTGTGCCAACTCCAGGCATTGAAACCCACTTAAAAGGCTTCCAGGAGGTGGCACTAAGGGGTTAAAAATAAATATTGCCTATGGAAGATCCTTAACATTTTAAAAATCCACAATTTTATAGTTTTCACCAAAACTGGTGAAGAGAGATTTTCCAATGAGGGTACCTTTTCCAGGCATTTCCCCTCACTTTAGAGAGAATTCCTCTGTTGAGTCTATGTCAAGGGAAGTGAAAGGACCTTTCCTCCATTGGGAATCTGTAAGTAACATAACACTATCCAAAAAAAAACTGCCAATCCTTTACAGAGCACCCCCCTGCCAACTTCCCCACCTTCTAAAGCCAGAAATAGAAGGTGAAATATTTACTTCCAGTAAACAGTGACTTAGAGCACCAACAGATGATGTATTGTTGGCCATAGTCAGTTTACTGACAGTAAATAGCAAAAGCTCTCAGCGCTACTCTGTAACCCTGTCAGGGTCTTAAAATATTACTTCTAAGTGAAAGCCATTAGAGATCTGATTCCTTTTCTCTTTAGTTATTAGAAGTCTGTTGACTTTGACCTTTCTCATGGCTGCAATATATACTGTGGATATCCTGCCTGTCATACAGTAGGACCCTCACTGGGTAACTTCTTGGACAATTTATTACACTTGCTGTGAAAGCCCTTCTCCCAACCTTGGGTCTCCTGCAAGGTAATTGTAAATGGAAACCAGGAGTGGAAGAACAACCAATGTATTCCAAGCTGACAGCTGAACAAAACAATTGCGGGCAATCAAAAATTCAGGACAAAAACAGCATGGGGTTCTCCCAATCATGTCTGGTTGTTGATGTCACAAAGGGAGTGACATCATTGGGTGGCCTTACCCCAAAGTTTATTTAGGAGCTGTCAGATGGAGGGTCGGCGGCCAATATTCATCATGGTTGACTTTAAATCTAATTCCGGGACATTTTTATTGTTTGTGTTTTTGTCGTAAGAAAGCAGCCAGAGAGAAGGAGAAATGATTGCTTTTACAGCCTATATGGGTGTAAAAGCAATCAGTGTGAAAAAAAAAAACTTCATCACCCCCCACAAGTAGTACAGTGTCACTATGGAGACACTGTACTGCTAGGGTGACAGTATGTTAAAAAAAAGCAAAAAATAATAATATAATAAAAAAAAATAAAACTTTTTTTGAAAAAAAATTATAATTTTTGGTTATAAACTAATTTGGGTTATTTTTTTATTTACTAAAAAGATAGCTGAATACATTTTGGCCAAGATTTATGAAGAAAGATTATTTATTTGCAAAACTTTATAAGAAAAAACACTTTTCAAAATTTTTGGACTTTCATTTATATAGCAAAAAAAACCTTAAAAATCCTTGTGGTGAATACCACCAAAATAAAGTTTTATCTGTCTCAAAAAAATAAAATATAAAAATAATGCTATAAAATTCATATGGGTACAGTGTTGCATGACTGTGCAATTGTCATTCAAAGTGTGATAGCGCTGACAGCTGAAAATTGGCCTGGACAGGAAGGGGGGGAAAGTGTCCGGACTGGAAGTGGTTAAAAACCACATAAAGCTTTGAGACACCTCCCCAGAATGTCATTTTTATTATATTATTATTATTATTATTATTATTATTACTATACAGGATTTATATAGCGCCAACAGTTTTCGCAGCGCTTTACAAAATGAAGGTAGATATTACAGTTACAATACAATTTGGTGCAAGAGGAAACAGAGGGCCCGGCTCGTCAGAGCTTACAATCTAAGGGGAAGGATTGAGCGATACAAAAGGTAATAGCTGTAGGGGGGATGAGCTGATGGAGGAAATAAAAAAGACAGTTTTCTAGTTAAAAGCAGGATAGACTTCTTTAAAGAGAAAAGGTTTTCAGGGTTCGTCAAAAGGTGGATAGATTAGGAGATAGTCTGACATATAGGGGAAGGGAGTTCCATAGAATGGGAGAAGCTCAGGAGAAGTCTGGAGGCGAGCATGGGAGGAGGTGACATGAGAATTAGGGAGAAGGTCTTGGGAGGATCGAAGAGTGCGGTTTGGTTGATATTTTGAGACCAGGTAGGTGATGTAGCTGGGGGCAGAGTTGTGGATGGCTTTGTAAGTTGTTAGCATTTTGAATTTTATTCATTGGGTGAGTGGAAGCCAGTGGAGGGATTGGCGTAGAGGGGTGGAGGCCAGTGGAGGGATTGGCATAGAGGGGTGGAGGCCAGTGGAGGGATTGGCATAGAGGGGTGGAGGCCAGTGGAGGGATTGGCAGAGAGGGGTGGAGGCCAGTGGAGGGATTGGCAGAGAGGGGTGGAGGCCAGTGGAGGGATTGGCATAGAGGGGTGGAAGCCAGTGGAGAAACTGGCATAGAGGGGTGGAGGATAGTGAAGGAATTGCCATAGAGGGGTGGAAGCCAGTGGAGAAACTGGCATAGAGGGGTGGAGGATAGTGAAGGAATTGCCATAGAGGGGTGGAAGCCAGTGGAGAAACTGGCGTAGAGGGGTGAAAGCCAGTGGAGAAACTGGCAGAGAGGGGTGGAGGCCAGTGGAGGGATTGGCATAGAGGGGTGGAGGCCAGTGGAGGAATTGGCATAGAGGGGAGGAAGCCAGTGGAGAAACTGGCAGAGAGGGGTAGAGGCCAGTGGAGGGATTGGCATAGAGGGGTAGAAGCCAGTGGAGAAACTGGCATAGAGGGGTGGAAGCCAGTGGAGAAACTGGCAGAGAGGGGTGGAGGCCAGTGGAGGAATTGGCAGAGATGGGTAGCAGACACTGAACGGTTGGTAAGGTGGATGAGCCTGGCAGCAGCATTCATGATGGACTGTAGGGGGGATAGCCTATGTAAAGGTAAGCATTTAAAGGAATTGCATATTTTTTTATTGTTGACTTTTAACCTCCCTGGCGGTCTAACTAATCAATATTTTTGAATGTCAAAGCTGTACATTGTTTTTCATGAAAATATGTAGTTTTTTTATTGTAGGCCTGTAATTTTTAGGAATAACTCACTGAAATCTGTCCGAACAAGAGTCTAGTAAACATCCCGGGTATGATAAAGTTTGGAACACAAAATCATAAATTATAATATAATAAATAATTATAAATAATAATAATATAATAATAAATTTAATTCAATAATATAATCAAACCAAAAACACTGACATTTGAAATATAGCGCCAAGTTCGCAAATCACTGAGCAAAGTCGCAGAATCGTTTTCAGTGTCTGATGACGAATTTACCCCACGAATCATTATCACTCAATTCTGCAAGTGGTTCTAATTTACTATCGCTGTTCTCTAGCCGGTCTAAAACCGATTTTGACCTAAAGGGAAGTTTTGTGGATGCCATGGACGTTTCTCAGTTTCTAGGCAGAAAGAACGAAAAAAAATTCAGGCAGGGCGCCGGACAAAGCACTCGGGACAAAACTGAGGTGAAATGGTTTGATACAGGAATGTGATCCTAACAGATTACAATGTATTATGTGTATGTCATATTTTTACTTTTTTGAATCTCCCGCCGGTTCCGACGCTCGCAGGGAACGGAACCCGGAAGATGGATGCTGGCATCGGCAGGCGGACATGGCTGGGGGACACAACGAGAGGACCTCGCGGGATTGTGGGACACCGCACTTGTGCACTCCCTGATTATCTCACGCCTTGACTACTGCAACTCCCTCCTCACCGGCCTACCCCAGTGCAAACTCTCCCCGCTTCAGACCATCCTGAACTCAGCTGCCAGACTCATCCACCTCACCAGCCGCTCCACCTCTGCCACCCCCCCCTCTGCCTCTCCCTCCACTGGCTCCCTATCGCCCAACGCATCAAATTCAAACTACTCACTCTGACCTACAAAGCCATTCACAACACTGCCCCTAACTACCTCACCGACCTGATTCCCAAGTACCACCCTACCCGTACCCTTCGCTCTTCACAGGACCTCCTTCTATCTTGCTCCCTGGTCTCCTCCTCACACGCACGTCTGCAAGACTTCTCCAGGTCCTCCCCCATCCTCTGGAACTCACTACCCCAATCCATCAGACTGTCACCTTCCCTCCTCACCTTCAGGCGCTCCCTGAAAACCCACCTCTTCAGGGAAGCCTACCCCACCCTCACCTAACTGCTGCTCTCCTTCATTCCTCCTACCACTCCATCCCCCACAGCCACTTCCTCCTGTACCACTACCCCCTCCCTCCCAGATTGTACGCTCGAAAGAGTAGGGCCCTATAACCCCTCGTGTGCTGTTCGTAGCTGCTGTAATGTTTCATGTATTGTCCCCCCCTCTATTGTACAGCGCTGAGCAAACCCTTTGGCGCTATATAAACTCAATGTAATGTAATGTAATGTAATGTAAGGCTCGAGGGATCTCTGCAGTGTATTCCCGAGTGTGGCTCGGGGTTACCGCTTTTGGTACTGAAAATAACCCCGAGCCACACTCAGGAATACCGCCAGGAAGGTTAGGCCACCTGAAAAGACCCTCTTCCCGATGTACAATACATTTAAAAAAAACATTTTTACATTGGTACATGCAGGGGCGGACTGACCATTCGAGCACTCGGGCACCGCCCGAGGGCCCAGGGTCAGTAGGGGGCCCCATGAAATGCCCCTGGTACCTTTTATAGACTTTTTTGGGTGTGCTTTGAGTGTGGGCAAGGACACAGGGGCCCCATGATCCCCTATTGCCCGGGGGCCGCATGAGTTGTCAGTCCGCCCCTGGGTACATGGCCCTCAGGGAACTGCACAGATCTCCTTTCTTTGAAAATCTCCAGCCTATTTCCAAACTTACCGTGAATGTGAACCTCGGTTGTTCAGCTCATTCCTGATAATCACATATACAGTACAGTGAGAACATAAGCAGCATTGATAATCTTGTCTACAAAGTTAGCTACAACTTACCTTGTGATATTTGGGTGTCTGCTACAACCCTTTCCTTTCTATCAAGTACGGGTGGTAAGGTGGAGAGTTTCAAAACTGCTTCCATGATCTGGTCCCAAATGGCAAGAATTTCGCTAGGCCTTTCCAAGTTACGAACTGAATTTGATGGGATAGTTAAGATAATATTCTTTGATTCAAGCTCAGCCCAAGGGGATGGATAGATAGAAATGGATTCAACCCATAAGGTGTCACTAGTTTCACCTATAACAACAACATGTCAAATATTATCATTATTTATTAATATACAGGATTTATATAGCGCCAACAGTTTGCTCAGCGCTTTACAATATAACGGGAGACAATACAGCAACAATACAGTTCAATACAAGAGGGATAGGAGGGCCCTGATCCTTGGAGCTTACAATCTAAGAGGGAGGGGCTGGTGGTACAAAAGGTAATAACTGTGGGGGATGGACTGGTTGGAAGCGTAGAAGATTCCATTATTAGCTGAGGGCAGGATAGGCTTCCCTGAAGAGAGAGGTTTTCAGAGATCGCCTAAAAGTGAGCAGAGTAGGCGATAGTCTGATAAATTGGAGTAGAGAGTTCCAGAGGATGGGGGAAGCTCTGGAGAAGCCCTGGAGACGAGCATGGGAGGAGGAGACAAGGGAGCTAGAGAGTAGGAGGTCGTGCGAGGAGCGGAGAGGACGGTTTGAGTGATATTTAGAGACAAGATCAGTGATGTAATTTGGGGCGGAGTTAAAAATGGCTTTATATGTTATTGTTAATGTTTCGAATTTTATCCGTTGGGCAATGGGAAGCCAGTGGAGGGATTGGCAGAGAGGGGTGGAGGACACTGAGTGGAGGCCAGTGGAGGGATTGGCAGAGAGGGGTGGAGGACACTGAGTGGAGACCAGTGGAGGGATTGGCAGAGAGGGGTGGAGGACACTGAGTGGAGGCCAGTGGAGGGATTGGCAGAGAGGGGTGGAGGACACTGAGTGGAGACCAGTGGAGGGATTGGCAGAGAGGGGTGGAGGACACTGAGTGGAGGCCAGTGGAGGGATTGGCAGAGAGGGGTGGAGGACACTGAGTAGAGGCCAGTGGAGGGATTGGCAGAGAGGGGTGGAGGACACTGAGTGGAGGCCAGTGGAGGGATTGGCAGAGAGGGGTGGAGGACACTGAGTGGAGGCCAGTGGAGGGATTGGCAGAGAGGGATGGAGGACACTGAGAGGAGGCCAGTGGAGGGATTGGCAGAGAGGGGTGGAGGACACTGAGTGGAGGCCAGTGGAGGGATTGGCAGAGAGGGGTGGAGGACACTGAGTGGAGGCCAGTGGAGGGATTGGCAGAGAGGGATGGAGGACACTGAGTGGAGGCCAGTGGAGGGATTGGCAGAGAGGGGTGGAGGACACTGAGTGGAGGCCAGTGGAGGGATTGGCAGAGAGGGGTGGAGGACACTAAGTGGAGGCCAGTGGAGGGATTGGCAGAGAGGGGTGGAGGACACTGAGTGGAGGCTAGTGGAGGGATTGGCAGAGAGGGGTGGCAGAGAGGGATGGAGGACACTGAGTGGAGGCCAGTGGAGGGATTGGCAGAGAGGGATGGAGGACACTGAGTGGAGGCCAGTTGAGGGATTGGCAGAGAGGGGTGGAGGACACTGAGTGGAGGCCAGTGGAGGGATTGGCAGAGAGGGGTGGAGGACACTGAGTGGAGGCCAGTGGAGGGATTGGCAGAGAGGGATGGAGGACACTGAGTGGAGGCCAGTTGAGGGATTGGTAGAGAGCGGTGGAGGACACTGAGTGGAGGCCAGTGGAGGGATTGGAGGATGGAGGACACTGAGTGGAGGCCAGTGGAGGGATTGGCAGAGAGGGACTCTCTGACTCTTCCCAAACACTCTCAAACTGGACCTCCCCTCCTTTTTATGTATCACATGGAGCCAAAGACTTGGACTCCAATCCATTATGTTCAATCCGGAGATCCGATCCGTCCTGCGGGGATCGTCGGCTTGCTTTACAACTTACCTTTTTGTGTAGCGGGTTCGGTGTCACCCCGTGCGGTAGGTGTCACCCAGTGCTGCGCGCACCCCCCGCACCTACCTAGGGACGCCACTGCATGAGGGCTAAATTAAATTGAACACATGGTGGGCTAACAATGTTGGAAGGTAGCAGCTTAGCGTGGTCAGCCTGGAACAGGAAGTGCTCTTACTGGCAGGATCTCCAGAACAGAAACTTTGCAAACAGATTCACAAAATAAGCCTTTGCTTAGGTAAACTGCATACAGAGACCCATGATGACAAGCATGCTGAGAAATGAATCCTACATCTGATTTACACCAAATTTAAATGAAAAGATCAAAGAGCTTAAAATTCCCTGAATGTGATACTTTCCATGTTTGAAGTGCGGAGCCAGCACAGCATCATTGATGGAGATTTGTATTTTCCCAAGATTGCATCTTCCAGGAACAAGGATGTAGATAAGGCCACCGAACACTGTGGAGACCGGTAATAGGACTTTGTCCACAGTATACTTCTGCACCACCACCGGGGCACGCCTGATTTCAGGATGGCGGCTGAGATTATCTGTATGACATCCAATTTGGACCTTAAAAAAACAAGCACAAGGTGAATCCAAATGCAAGAAGAAAAACTTTCCAAACAGCAGGGAGATATGCTTTGCTGATTGTAGAACACGAAGTCGGACTCAGCGGGGGGCATGTTGGACCTTTGCAGAGATGCCACTGTTTCCACACATAGGGCCGAAGCTAACATATGGCTGTTTAGACAGCTGCCTTAGGGCACCAGGATCGGGGAGCAGGAGCGGACTGACAACTCATGGGGCCCCCGGGCAATAGGGGATCATGGGGTCCCTGTGTCCTTGCCCAAACTCAAAAAAGCCTATGAAAAAGGTACCAGGGGCATTTCATGGGGCCCCCTACGGACCCCGGGCCCTCAGGCAGTGCCTGAGTGCTGGAATGGTCAGTCCGCCCCTGGTTTCAACGTGAAGGAGATACCAGCATGGCTGTAGACAGTGAGGGGACGTGGGGAGTGAATAAAACCAACCCCCTCACCAGAGGTGTCACTAGGGTTGGTGTCACCCGGTGCGGTAACACGTGGTGTCACCCCGGTCCCAGGCTCTGTGTTGGGAGACGGAAGGATGTCCTGTGCAGGGACTGGCCAGTGATGTGTGATGCAGAAGGGCGGGCTCTGGGCGGGGTCATTACCATTCAAGGACTGACATGTAGAGTAGAAGCCGTCCAATCAGAGGGCAGGGGCGGGCTCCGCTCCGGTGTACGGGGGACAGGCTGGATGTGAATTGGTATGCAGCAGCCACTGTGATCCCGGGAATTGGACCCCCCCCCCGCCAGGACCAGACATCTCACCCCCCACATGGCACGGCTGTTCCTGGGGCTGCAAGAGGGATAAGGAGCCGTGGTATCCAAGGAGAGGATGGGGGACACTCGGCTCGGATAGATGACAGCAACTGACAGCTCTTCTTTTAATTTTGGTGTCACCCCCTGTGATGGTGTCACCCCCCTAGTGTCGTCACTGCCCCTCATGCAATATTCCATTCTTCACACTGCACCCATCACATAATAGGGACGAGGATGTTGGGGGAGAGGAGCAGCAAAATGCACCTTCGCTTGTGAAGACAAAAACCCTCGCACCAGCCCTGTCCTCACAGAGAGCCAGCGTCCTTCTCTACAGCATGCTGGTGGAGGGCAGGCTTTTTTACGCAGGATGTGGCTGCTTTACTGTCTGTGTGCACAACATCAGTTTGAGGCTTTTTTGAGATCATTTGACAGGGACAATTGGCCTGGGTTTTGCTTTCCCTGTAAGCAGATGAAAAACCCATTTGTTGAAGCAAACAAAAGCCCACAGACACAGGCTCTCAAAGACAAGTTCACTGGAAAATATTTAACACCTTTTGTTGTGATGCACCTGGAATGTATTTAGTTCATTAAGGCCCTAGGCTGGCCATACACTATACAATTTCTTTACAATTTGCTGTCCAATTTTTGCCCAATTTCCTTTAGATTTACCTTCAACTATGCAGTGCAAGGGCCTGCCTGATTGGATACAATTAAAAGTGTTGTTTAGAATTGATCTCATATTATATGGTTTTTGGTAAATCTAAAGCAAAATTCTCAAGAAACTTGGATAATGTATGGCCAGCCAAAGTCTCCTGTTAGCAGCAGAGAGTAAGGCTGGCCATACATTATACAATTTTCTTGAGAATTTTGCTTTAGATTTACCAAAATCCATATAATATGAGGTCAAACCTAAACAACACTTTCAATTGTATCCAGTCAGGCAGGCCCTTGCACTACATAGTTGAAGGTAAATCTAAAGGAAATTGGACAGAAAATTGTATAGTGTATGGCCAGCCTAATGTAGGAGTTTTTGTAGCTTAGAGAGACAGAGAAGAGTCCTCCAAGAATTCAGTTCTCCAGTTGGGGTATCCCATGCTCCCTTCACCCCATCCAAGTTCAGATTTTCAATAAAGGATCAAAAAGGCATTCCTAGACTGTTCTATCTGAGTCAGTGAAAGTGGAGAAAATGCTGTGTGTCTGGTTGTGTGTGTACTAATCTGGAGGAAAACCACCAGTTTCATCAGTGGCTCCTTAGGGGGTGCACTGCAACTGCCTATGCAGGTAAGGGGAACCTGTAGATTTAAAAAAACAGCAGCTTTGACCAATGTTTTTATAGGTGTAGGCCATTTGTGTATCTCCTGAAGCCTGACCAAAAACCTTTCATGGATGACATCAAACCATTCTTCCTTGTTGTTAGGATTTTCTTAAGACACTACTAGCCAATTTTTTACCACTCCCATCATCACATGACATGCTCTCAAAACCTTCCACATGTATGGTCCACTATCTCCTCCATCGCAGGATCGCTAAACTCAGAGATACTGCAACAGAGGAGAGAGAAAGAGCGCCGGCGAGGAGATTTGAATCAGCTGGGAGCGTCTTAGCAATGTCTTAGCAGTAAGGCAGGAAGGGAAGGGACTTTAGGTTTGTAAATGTCCTACACCTATAACTTTGGTCAATGCCCCGCCATTTGTTCTTGTCTACAGATGCCCCTTACCTGCACAGGCAGTTTCTTTGGTTAAGGTGATTTAACCCTTTAAATTGAAAGTTCAGTTGGGATTCAAGGCATGGAGGAAATAGTCCTAGTATTGAACGATCTGAAGAGAACCAATTGTAATGTCCAGTGGTGTATTTAGGTTTTGTGCTGCCCTAGGCAACACAAAAATTGGCGCCCCACCCCTGCAGAAGGAGCATGACATTAACCACCCTGCCCTCCACCCAAACCTTCCACTACCACCACTGCCCCCCATACACCAGCCACCATCCTCCATGGCAAGAGAGAGAAAGACATTCACCTTCACAGCTCCGGACATCCCCAGAAACGAGAGTCGGGCTGTGCATACACCGTCATGAAACCCCCAGCATCTCTTGGAACCCGCCAGGTCCCCATACCGCGTGTGTTACTTCTTCCGTTTTGTGCTGCCCTAGGCAACACAAAAATTGGTGCCCACCCCGCACAAAGAGCTTGACATTGACCAAGAGCACCCCTACCCTCCACCTAAACCATCCAGTACCACTGCCCCCCATACACCAGCCACCATCCCTCATGGCGAGAAAGAGAAAGACACTCACCTTCACAGCTCCGGACATCCCCAGAAACGAGAGTCGGGCTGTGCATACACCGTCATGAAACCCACAACATCTCTTGGAACCCACCAGGTCCCCATACCGCGTGTGTTCCTTCTTCCGTTTTGTGCTGCCCTAGGCAACACAAAAATTGGTGCCCACCCCCGCACAAAGAGCTTGACATTGACCAAGAGCACCCCTGCCCTCCACCTAAACCTTCCAGTACCACTGCCCCCACACACCAGCCACCATCCCCCATGGCGAGAGAAAGACACTCACCTTCAGGGGCGGACTGACCATTTGGAAACTCGGGCACTGCCCGAGGGCCCAGGGTCAGTAGGGGGCCCTTGAGATGCCCCTGGTACCTTTTTCATAGGCTTTTTGGAGTTTGGGCAAGGACACAGGGGCCCCATGATCCCCTATTGCCCAGGGGCCCCATGAGTAGTCAGTCCGCCCCTGACTGGGAGAGAACATTGTCATCTCATAACATGAAGTGACCTTCATGTCAGGATCAACTGGTATTATTTTACCAAACTCTGCAGGTTAAGGATTATGAAAATGTCTTTTAAAACTATATGGACATGTTTGAGATTTTAATGCTGTTGTCTACTCTACATACTGCAAAATTTTATCAAACCTGATTGCAGAACTACCAGTACTTTTGTTTTAGAGAAGATATCCCAGTCCAGAAATGTGAAGGATTTGGAGATTGTAATAAGATTTTACCTAACCCCAGAGGCGTAACTTGAAGCTTGTGGGCCCCCCATGCAAAGTTGACCTGGGGCCTCCCCACTACCACCCATAACTTCCACCATGCACCAAGCTAATCCAAGAGCCTAAAGTGTTATTTCAGATCTTTATTTACATATTAGGAAGGTAATTCAAAAGATTTTGGAGAAACTGTGCACATTGTGACATACCTCTCCTATTCTTTTGAATACCTTGGAGCGGGTTAGGCAACCATTGAAGGTCGCTCGCTAGGCTGGCAATATTCAGAACGAGAAGTGATGTCACCACTCCGAGATCCCATGTCACATCAGGCCGAGTGGTGACATAATTTCCAGTTCTGAGTATCGCCAGCATAGCGGTTGATCCCCTATTGCCGGGGGCCGCATGAGTTGTCAGTCCGCCCCTGCTCACCTTCACAGCTCTGGACATCCCCAGAAATGAGAGTCGGGCTGTGCATACACCATCATGAAACCCACAGCATCTCTTGGAACCCACCAGGTCCCCATGTCGCGTGTGTCCCTTTATCTGTCCCTTCTTCCAAGGGGCAGTGCTGTCCCCCCTGAAAAATGCCACCCTAGGCAAATGCCTTGTTTGCCTTGTGGTAAATACACCCTGGTAATGTCAAAAGGTTTTCCTACCCGTCGAATCTCTTTATCCTCAAGAGCACTTATTCAGGGCAATTGGGTTCTTCCCCATAGTCATCAGATTGTTATTAAAGTCTGATGTACAAAGCAACTGACTGTAAAATGTTTTATATTTCCCACCTTCCAGCCTGCATATCTTTTCTTCCTGTTGTAAGCACCGACTATTGGCTAGAAGAGAAACCGACTTCTAGATTTCTTCCTATGACATATGGGAACTGTTACATATTTACTATATCGGACTTACCTGTAAGCCGATATTGATAGCAGATTCTGGGAAAATCAATGTGGATGTCCTTCCAGGTGGAAGATACAGTCCTGTACTCTGCAATGCCATGTTTGCTGGAACAAATGTATTTAGTTAAAAATAATAAGTGAGCTCTTGCGAGCTACTATGATACCAAAATAGATAATTAACCAAATAATTAATGTGAAGTCATAGTATAGTGGAGCGCCATGTGAAGTCATAGTATAGTGGATCGCCATGTGAAGTCATAGTATAGTGGATCGCCATGTGAGGTCATAGTATAGTGGATCGTCATGTGAAGTCATAGTATAGTGGATCGCAATGTGAAGTCATAGTATAGTGGATCGCCATGTGAAGTCATAGTATAGTGGATCGCCATGTGAAGTCATAGTATAGTGGATCGCCATGTGAAGTTATAGTATAGTGGATCGCCATGTGAAGTCGTAGTATAGTGGATCGCCATGTGAAGTCATAGTATAGTGGATCGCCATGTGAAGTCATAGTATTGTGGATCGCCATGTGAGGTCATAGTATAGTGGATCGTCATGTGAAGTCATAGTATAGTGGATTGCCATGTGAAGTCATAGTATAGTGGATCGCCATGTGAAGTCATAGTATAGTGGATCGCCATGTGAAGTCATAGTATAGTGGATCGCCATGTGAAGTTATAGTATAGTGGATCGCCATGTGAAGTCATAGTATAGTGGATCGCCATGTGAAGTTATAGTATAGTGGATCGCCATGTGAAGTCATAGTATAGTGGATCGCCATGTGAAGTCATAGTATAGTGGATCGCCATGTGAAGTCATAGTATTGTGGATCGCCATGTGAAGTCGTAGTATAGTGGATCGCCATGTGAAGTCATAGTATTGTGGATCGCCATGTGAAGTCGTAGTATAGTGGATCGCCATGTGAAGCCGTAGTATAGTGGATCGCCATGTGAGGTCATAGTATAGTGGATCGCCATGTGAAGTCGTAGTATAGTGGATCGCCATGTGAAGTCATAGTATAGTAGATCGTCATGTGAAGTCAAAGTATAGTGGATCGCCATGTGAAGTTATAGTACAGTGGATCGCCACGTGAAGTCATAGTATAGTGGATCGCCATGTGAAGTCGTAGTATAGTGGATCGTCATGTGAAGTCGTAGTATAGTGGATCGTCATGTGAAGTCAAAGTATAGTGGATCGCCATGTGAAGTCATAGTATAGTGGATCGCCATGTGAAGTCATAGTATAGTGGATCGCCATGTGAAGTTATAGTATAGTGGATCGCCACGTGAAGTCATAGTATAGTGGATCGCCATGTGAAGTCATAGTATAGTGGATCGCCATTTGAAGTTATAGTATAGTGGATCGCCATTTGAAGTTATAGTATAGTGGATCGCCATGTGAAGTTATAGTATAGTGGATCGCCATGTGAAGTCATAGTATAGTGGATCGCCATGTGAAGTCATAGTATAGTGGATCGCCATGTGAAGTCATAGTATAGTGGATCGCCATGTGAAGTCATAGTATAGTGGATCGCCATGTGAAGTCATAGTATAGTGGATCGCCTACACATCACACATACCCATACCAATGTGTCATAATAAATCAAACATGAATATAATAATGTCGCGCTCCACTGACAAACGAAAAAACTAGAATACCAATTTTCCAATAAATAAATGTCCATATGAAACATCACCATTCCCAAAATTAAGTGTCCATATAATCCGTGTAACAAACTCTTTGCAATATTGTGGACAAAATAATTCGGGTTCAATTCACCGTTTCGTAATAATGACAAACTTGCGTGCGACTTCACCAGTTGTGCTCTCACCTGGTAGATATGACCAAAACCGTTAAGTGAGGTCATAAATAGCTTGTGTTTCTTGTTTTTGGACTTAAACTGGATGGGATTAGCAATCTTCAAGGTTTGGGATCCCCTCACTTTCTTAAAACTCTTCCTCCCTTGATGTATATGCCATAAAGAGTAATGAAAAACATAGCGCCTTATCTTGTTTTAAAACATTTATAAAAGATAAAGTATTTGCACTCACATGTAAATGCTTTTAAAATCACTTTAAAATGTGATCCACAGTGTTTGCTAGGTTTCAAATCTGTATACTCGCTGTGTAGCTGCCTGTCTCCTTAAGCGGCGTGACTTCAGAGCCCCTCCCCTACGCATTACGCCACTGGGCCACATGGCTTCATCAGGGGAAAATAAAAAATGAAGTCACATGACCCAGTGGCGTAACACGCAGGGGAGGGGCTCTGATGTCACGATGCTTAAGAAGACAGGCAGCCACACAGCAAGTATACAGATTTGAAAGCTGAAATACACAGATATGAAAAGTAGGGTATTTATGGCTTATATGTCTACACTTTTAAAGCGGATCTGTCCTGGAAAGTGAATACTTGCTGTTATAGGGGACATCTAGAGATGTTATTTGTGCCTAAGCAGTGTCTTGCTTTTATCTCCAATACCTACTGACAAAAAGCATAGCATTTATGTACCTTGAGCCTCATAGCTCATAGTTTGTTGAACATTCCCCCACCAGTTATTAGATCACCATTCGACAGTGGAGCAGCCGTAACAAGGAGGAAACTTCTTCCTCTACCAAGATGGCCACCTTCAAACAGAGACACGGTGTAAAACCAGTAGTGTATTTAGAGTTTGTGCTGCCCTAGGCAACACAAAAATGAGACCCTCCCCCCCACGGAGAGACTCTGACACCAACCAACACCCCCCCCCCCCAAACCCAAGAGAGCCTTCCACTACCACCACCCTCCATACACCAAACCCCCCCCAACCCCACCCTTTAGTGTAAAAGAAAGACACACCTTGACAGCTCCAGACATCCCCTGGAATGAGAGTCAGGCTCTTCATCCACCCGGTCCCCATGTCGCGTGTCCCTTCTTCTGTCTCTTCTTCCAGGGGGCAGTGCTGCACCCCTGAAAAATGCCGCCCTAGGCAAATGCCTTGTTTGCCTTGTGGTAAATACACCCATGTGTAAAACAAGACATGGAAAGTCATTAATGGGGAAATGATCAGCTGCAGGGAGACCACAGGCAATACTGGTATCTTGTCCTTTACCCTCTACTTGTCTTTTTTTAGGCACAGCTTCCAGAGTCTATCATGCATTGTCTAGTTTAGATCTGTATATGAATGAAACAAGTAGATACAAAAGTAACACTGTTACTTTGTATCACTCTATATCATGCCATCTGAACAATGTTTATAAACACCGTGCAAGGCGGTCATTTTATTTTTCATAGCAGCTGCTACTTCTGTTGTATTCACACAACAACCCCCAGCTCTCATTTAAACAGCCAGTAATTGTGAACCTTTAGGAAGATTATTTGGGGCTACTACGCATTGCCAATGTCCACAAATGGTTAATTATGGATATAAAGGGTCAATTATGGATGTATATGAGTTCAAACATAAGATAAAGCCTAGATAGATTTGCCTTTAACAGCTTTTTTTCTATTTTACTATTCATTCCTGTAAATCTCAATAGATTTTGAACTGTGCATGTAGCACTACCCCCATAGTAGCTGCTAAGCAATGCTTGTCCTCTAGAACTGTTCTGAACCTTGCAGACACCTCAACCCTTCTCTTGATGGTGGAGGCAGCCCAGGAACTTTATAGACCCTTTCAGCTCTTTCCTACGGGCTGGTACCAGGTCATGGCCCTTAGAATCTTTACCTGATCTATTGATGGTGGAGACAGGCCAAGAACCTTGTAGACCCTTTCAGCTCTTTCCTACAGGCTGGTACCAGGTCATGGCCCCTAAAAATCTTTACCTGATCTATTGATGGAGGAGGCAGTTCAGGAACCTCATAGATCCTTTCAGCTCTTTCCTACACGCTGGTACCAGGTCATGACCCTTAGAATCTTTACCTGATCTATTGATGGTGGAGGCAGCCCAGGAACCTTATAGACCCTTTCAGGTCTTTCCTACAGGCTGGTACCAGGTCATGGCCCTTAGAATCTTTACCTGATCTATTGATGGTGAAGACAGGCCAAGAACCTTATAGACCCCTTCAGCTCTTTCCTACAGGCTGGTACCAGGTCATGACCCTTAGAATCTTTACCTGATCTATTGATGGTGGAGGCAGCCCAGGAACCTTATAGACCCTTTCAGGTCTTTCCTACAGGCTGGTACCAGGTCATGGCCCTTAGAATCCTTACCTGATCTATTGATGGTGGAGACAGGCCAAGAACCTTATAGACCCCTTCAGCTCTTTCCTACAGGCTGGTACCAGGTCAAGGCCCTTAGAATCTTTACCTGATCTATTGATCGTGGAGACAGGCCAAGAACTTTCATGATCCCTGGAATGCTTTGGTGTTTAAACATTCCCTTTCTGAAAAATAAATAATTTCAGGATGTTTGCAGAGGTTCCATAGTGTAGCAGTTATCATGTCTGCATTCCATGTAGAAGGTCCTGGCTTTGAGCTCCAGTGGAACCATTTTCTAATGTGTGATCAGATACTGACTTTTTTCAACTCAAAATTTGGTACGTCCCCCGGACACCACAAAGGAAAGCAAAAGAGCCTTTAAAGTGGAACTGAACTCAAAAAGATGAAATTTGCTGTACTGTAGGGGATATTTACATATGTTAATTATTCCTCAGCAGTACCCTGAAAAATGTATCTTTTGTCTTCAATTCCTCCTAAAAGAAGCTGTGGAGCGCCATGGTAGTTCATTAAATCTTCCTGTCAGTATATGTGATTGCTCGTACATCTCATATGGGCAAGCAGATATACTGATGGGTCTGCAGGAGTCCTGCATGGCACCAGTGATCTACTGGTCACTGGTGCAATGCTTTACAGGCTCCAGAAGCAAAAATATAAAGGCATATTTATGAACCAGCAAAAAAAATTTGCATTTATTTTTTTTTTTTACCAAAACGTAAACTTACCCATTAACAATGTTTGTTATTTTTTTCTATTTCAATGTTCATTCCTGCACGTAAAAAATGTTTATAAACACTGTGCCAGATAGATCCATTTTTTTCTTAGCAGCTACTTATAAAACTGTTATATTCATACAGCAACTCCCAGCTATCATTTCAAAAGCTGGCAAATCTTGGCAAGTATGAGGGGAGAGGCTACAGCAGAA